TGGCCCGAGCCCCAGCCTGGCCTCCCACCCAGGCCTCCCACCCAGCTCCCGGTCGCGGCGCCTCCTGGGGGTCCCTGCACTCTGGAAGAGACTGCAGGCGCTGGAAAGCGAGGCCGGTGGGCGGGCGAGTCGGGAGGCTCGGGCGGCCGAGGTCCAGGAGCGGATCCCAGGTGGCGGGAGCTGGTGAGTGGAGCTATGGCCGAGCCCTGCTGGGGCCGACGCGGGCGGGAGCTGGACGCGGCCTTGCGCTGGGGAAACGCGGGGACCCCCTACCCACGCCCGCCTTCACCGGAAGACTCGGAAGGAACCTGGAGTTCTCCGCAGACCCGGGCCCCGCCCTGAGCTTTCCAGCGGCCGGGAGGAACCGGTCCTGGGGCTAGGAAGGTGAGCGCACCTTTCCCTGAGCACAGGGCGGCACTGCGCGGGCGAACCCCGGATTCTCCACCCGCGACCCAACGAATTTTCGCCCTATCCGGTACCGGAGACGAAAGTCTCCTTCATCCAAAATACCGGTATCTTCTCTTCGTTCTGTCAACCGCTTTTTTAGAGTTTGTTCTTATCTCTCGGAAGTGCACGTCTCCTAAATTAAGGAGTGCTGAGTAACGCGTGCGGGAGTTGGGGTATCGGCGAGCACCTGTGATTGAAGCCCCCTCTTCCGTGATCAGTCTTCGTCTTCTGTTTCCGGCAGCCCCAGTATTTCCCCCCCCATGAAGTGATGGTATGTGTATGTGTGTGTTTCGGGGCCCGTGTGGTGTCCTCTGTAAGCAGCGAGAGCTGTAACTCAAGGTGTGCACTGGGAGAGTGAAGCGACCACACACCTGCTTCCAATCGGGCTCGGGCGCGAACACTCAGGCTGATTCCTGAAGGTCGTGTTCCGAAGGAAAAGACAGAGCATGCACTAGCCACGGGTGACATTCCCACCCGTACAACCGCGTGGTGGGCGCGTACATCCCACATCCAACATTGCCCCATGCAGGCGCCCGCCCGCTGCGCACACCGTTCGCAGGGCACCTCGTTATTGAACGTTGGGAGCGGCGTTTAAAGGTCGAATCTCTCCTGGCAGTGCGGAGTCGGGACTGACGGAAGCAGTTTGGCCTCTGCAACCGTTTTCCATACTTTTCGGTGCGGACCCCAGAGGCCTCACGACTCCTCATCACCGCACGTGAGCGCCGCCCCCACAGGGTTTTCTCCACGACCTCGTTCTTGGCTGGGTCGCTCCTCTCTTAGTACCTCCTCTCTGGCCAGAACGAATCTTTGATTCCGTGCTGCGCAGTCTACGCAGTCGGGGCAGGAACCATTGCAGTTTTCCATAGGCAAATACCTGCCGGCTCCACCTTAGGCGAGATGTGGCCCCTCGGGGAGGGACCCGTTGTGGACACGTTTGCGCAGCTGGTGAAGTGACCAGATAATAACCAGGGCAGATTTCCTTAGCCGGGAACCCAGGTACCGGCCTAGGAATCCGTGAATACATTTGCAAAGTCGAGTGTGTGTGTGTGTGTGTGTGTGTGTGTAGACACATACTTTTGTCCTTGTAAGAGTATGTGTACATCTAAATGTGTGCGCTTTAGACATCAGTACATTTCATTAGTCCATCCATAGCTGGTCCGGGGTCCGAGGCCTGAAGAGTTTGAAACACTCAGGCCTGGGTTATTTGACCGAGAAACCTGGCGGCGACAGTGCAGCGCTGCATCTGGGGACGGCGACCCCACCTACAGTGGCACCGACCTTCCCTCTGGCTTTCCGGGGCCAGGATCCCACAGCTCGCCCCGCCCCAGGATCCCGCAATCACTCTGAGGTCCTGCTGCAGCCGCTCTGAAGAGTCTGTAGCGACCCCCAGCCAAACTCTCCAGCTCATCGAAAACTGGCGCTGGGGAGGCCTGGGCGACCCTGGAGCGGCGCCGTG